CTTTCTATCATGGCCAGCATTTTTTTTTTTTTTAACAATTTGAGCGTCAGTAGTTTGTCAGTGTGATCAAAGCAGAATATATAGCCATCGCTCTCCACATGCAGCAATGAGCCGTTGGAGCCCTTCCTTGTACCACTTTTGTTATGTGCTAACCACTGCATACCGGGAACACCACACAAACTTGCCATTTTGGAGATTCTGACCCAATCATCTAGCCACCCTATGTGATCCTCGTCAAAGTTTAAAAGTTACTCAAATAGTTTTGCTTGCCACTACAGGGACTTCCGGACTGTTAGGCGACTTTTGGTCGCTTAACTGACGTTGGATGTTCTCACGCTATGCATGGGGACGTCCAGCATCACCTAAAACCCTATAGAAAAGCATTGTATAATGCTTTTCTATGAGGAAATCCTAATGCGAGTGCGGAAGGTCTCCCCCACTGGCCGACGTCGGTAGAGGAAGAGCAAAGGCGGACCTGAACCCGCGCCAAGGGACATTAGCGCTGGACTGATGTAAGTGACAGAAGGGTTTTTTAACCCCTTTTGCACCACGGTGGTGTCGCAAAGGAGGGGGAAGCTACAGTGCCAGTAAAACAAGTTTGTTTTCTTAGCACTATAGTTTCCCTTTAAAGACACTGTGCACATATAAGGTTTAACACAAATAAGGAGCAACACAAAGGGGTGTAAGGAGGATTATAACATGTTACAGCTATTTCATTTCTTTTAAGGAGTAAACAGTTACTATCGGCTGTGTTATTAATCTGTGCATAATCAGACCTTGAGCAGCATGTTGCTCTATATGGGAAAGAGTACGTTTTACCTTTGGATTCCAGACATGGATAGAAGGTTTTGTGCAGAATGTTGCTCTCTGGAGAATATATGTTGCATCTTAGGATTTCACCCCTGAAGTGTGTTCCACCTGGGAGACAGCAATAGGAAACGAGATAAAGAAACCATGCAATACAGTCCGGGCTGACGGTTAATTGAGTTAAAATTTAAATTGGCTTTTTGTAGTGCAGCATGTTAGAGACACTGCATGCATGATAACCAGTACAGAATAAAGAAAATTAGTCTGAGGATTCGTAGTGTTCTCAAGTTGTGCTTGGCCATACTAAATCGTTGTTAAAAGAACACTCCAATTACCATAACTGCTACAGCTTGCTGTAATGGTTATGATGCCTGGAGTGGCCTGGCACTACAGTTTGGTGAGAGGCCAAACGCCCTTCCTCTTCCACTTTTGTCTCTCTTCCATATCTACTTTTTTGCCTACCCCCGCCCCCCCCCACCTTACTTTTATCTTAATTCTTTGTCTTCATTCACTTGTTTTTCTTCTCTTTCCTTACTCTCATCCCTTCCATTTATGTCTCTCTTTACCATCTTCTGTCTCTTACTGTGATTTTTGTAGTACGATAGGCCTTTTAGGCCTTCCTAGTGAAGTCTGACTCTATGCTCCTGCCCCCATGCTCCTGGACTACAGTTCCTGTATACATATTGTGTGTATAAATGTTTACCTCCCTACTCATCCTACCCCTAAGATAGATAACAATATCTAATCTTTAGATTGATGTATATCATTCTACCTAACTTAATTGGTCAATCCTCATTAAACCAACAGGCAGACTTCTTCACAAAACTTTCTGTTTATTTTCTAGGTTATAATTATTTGGTGAATTAAAGGGTAAAATATAATTTTTTTATATTGTGCGTTGTCACGAGTTTATTCACTAAAATGAGAATTGTTGGGAATTCAAAGTGAAATGGAAATGTATTTATTTTTATTCGGTAGTGTATGTTGGGGTGACTACACATATAGGTGATTCATAGTAGCATGTCTTGTTCTTTCACACACTTTTAAGTGCCACAACACAATATATTTTTATTTAGTGGTTCTTGTCTGCATAACACTGTGTGGCATTCTAGGTTATACTGGCGATGTTGTATTAGCCATTCTTCCAGTAGATTGTTCTTTTTCCTTTATTTTTTTTTAAATGTCACTAGCCTTTAAACTTGACATTAGAGAAATTTTAAATGTATTATTATTATGTTCTCTTTCTTTTGTGTCTTTGCTTGCACAATCTGTACATACCATTCCCTAGATGCAGATGCCAGAGCCTTGATGAGGGAACGTCAGAAAAAGGACACACATAACATGAGTAAGTAAAAGACATATGTATTATTATTTTTTTTTACTATTACTTTATTAGTATTTCTTTATTAATTATGGTTTCAATCACAGTCTATGCTTTGATAACTCACTACATATTAGTGGCTGCCAATGAGCCAATAATGATGTCCACACAATCATACCTTCCCACTGTTTTCAAAAAAGCATTTGGTACAAAGGGGTTCTATAACTTTAGTTAAGCCTAAGCAATCGCAATCATAGGATTTGTCAACACATTAATTAGACCCCTTATTGACCCAAATATACCATCAAAACCCAAAATTAATTTAATGTTTTATTAAATGTTTTATTTAATCTAAATCTAAACCACCTAGATGGCTTCATATAGGTGGTTTTCTTATAGTTCTATGTCAGACTATCGGATTGGCTGTAGATATTCTTCAACCTGTGACCTTGCAAAATCACCATATTTTTGTATTGTTAACTTGCAATCATCATGTGATAGTCGATGAAAACAACAAATGTTAAGCCCAGTTTGAAGGTGATGATTTTTACCTTCAGCAGCATTACTATCAGAAAACGCTAATGTATTTTTGGGTTGTTACTGTGCGGAAAACAAACACGCAATACCGGCCGAAGTTCATAATCTTCTATAAAAGCACAGGATTAAGCCCTTTTTTGGAAATATTCTGTTCTGTGCTTTGATATTGTCCATGCACACTATATTCTGAAGTTGTTACTTTCAAATGCCTCTTGCACCTTTCTATCTACCTCTTCTCCTATTCTTCTCCTTATGCTTTGGTTTCTGTGTTATCTCTTGTAACTGTGTTACCTCTTGTTACCTTTTTTCTTTACCTTTCAGTTGAAAGGAGGAGACGATTTAACATCAATGATCGGATTAAAGAACTAGGGACTTTGATTCCAAAAACAAATGATCTGTAAGTATCTCTTTGAAACCATGTTCGCAGCATGACACATAGATGTGTTTTGGCCCAGACTGGCCTTGCGGCAGAACCACAAATATTTGGTGGGCCCTGGGGGTTTTTATATTCTCTGTTTCCTATTACACTGTATTCTTTTCACTACAACCACTCTGTACACATTGGTTGAAGAAACCTCTGGAAACTTGTTTTTGTGATGTTTTCATGTGCTTGTGGGTCATAAGTGCAGATTTTAAAATAAAAGAAGAATAGGGAGCTTTGTGGTCAATTCAGGGCTTGAATCAGTTTGTGATGGATTTACTTCCTCTCTACAGCAGTGACACTCGCTGGAACAAAGGCACCATCCTGAGGGCATCCGTAGACTACATCAAACATATGCAGAAGGAGCAGCAGAGGAGCCGGGACCTGGAGACGCACTCCAAACAGCTGGAACTTACTAACAAGCAATTATGGCTGCGAATCCAGGTAAAAGTTTGACTTCAAATCATTTAAAGCTATCAATTCCCAAAATACGGTCTACACTAGGCATATCAAACTCTGCCACCCTCCTCCAGATGTTGAACTACAATTCCCACGACTATCTGGCAAACCACTGTATAAAAAGAATTCTGGGAGTTGAAGACCATAAATATCTGGGGGCCCAGAGTTTAAGATCAGTGTTGCGTCCTATGCAATGGTATTTGCAGTCTGTCACATGGAAATGTATACAGCTGAACTTTAATTCAAAAAAATATTGGTATATGTAACAAAAAATGATAATTTGGCTCTAATCTTCACAACCCTTATACATTCCAGACACATTTTCTCTCTTTTCATCTGTTGCAGGAACTGGAGTTACAAGCCCGGGCACATGGCATTTCAGCATCTTCTCCTCATGGACTAAGTCCAGCTGATCCCTTCAAACAAGAACCTGACCCAATGCCAGTTGTCCAGCAGCCAACAGTTACACCACAGGCATCTTACCAGCCTCAGCTGGACTTCTCCACAGAGCTTGCTTACCAGAGCAGTGCCTGTGCAGAAACTTCCTTCCCTGATATATCCAGGACGGAATTGGACCTCATGCTGATGGATGATGCCATGATGACATCTGATCCCATGATGGCTTGTGATCCTCTAATCTCCACCCTTTCCCCAGACACTTCTAAAGCCAGCAGCCGGAGAAGCAGCTTTAGCATAGATGAAGTGGATGGACTGTGACACCATATGTTTGAAGGACCTTCATGCCTGTTCTCTTGAGGAGACATGGGCTGTGACCCTGCCTTATTTATAAGACAGTTTGGACACTTATACACCATTATCCATATACATGGATGCATATGCACTGGACAATACACTTGGGTATATTCAGAATATCTTGTATCTACAGGTAAACATCTACAGGTATACATAAATGTATAATACCCAGAGTTACATACACAAGATTGAAAAAGAACATATACAGATCTGTATTTTGACAATGACCTACAATTGCATAAAATAGGTCTACAGCCAGCATTTAAAAAAAAAGTTGATCCTCCTTACACACACCTAACTCGGTGTAGGAGTGACACTTGCACACAGGCACATCATACAGCTTGCTCACTGCCTCAACTCTTCTGGAACACAGATCTCAAGGAAGACTTGCCAAAAATCTAAAGTGCCTTCTAGAGCAGAACTCAAATATTTGTGAATGTTTGTGTAAGTGGGTGCATGGCAAGGAATGAATGTAATTAGTGGAAGCATGCAACCTCTTATATTGTGTGAATGATGTTTACTATGAAGGTGGATATATCTGTTTTGGTTACAGCATCTGTATAGTGATTTGGATGCTACCATAGCTCGCTAGACCCAATTGGTCTATATGCATAGTAAAGCAATTTTACTGGTAAACAGCTTTTTTATTCTGTTTTGCTGAGTGAAAGGTGTTTGAAGTAATCTGTTTTTAAATATATATATTTTTTTTTAATCTAGCCATATATTGCCTAGTCTGAAAATATGGTTCAGATTTTATTTAGGGCTGCACTTGTCCTTTGATAAATTATGTAAAAGTCTAAGAATCATTGAAATCAGGTCTGCTCATAAAGTTCCTGCATTTATAAGTGTAGGGATGCCAAATCGTGATTTGATTTGGGGACACCTATGATAAATGCATACTTCAGGTCTGTGAAAGTTAAAATATAGCTCTTGCCTTTTTATTTTTATAGGTATCCCAAAATAATCTGCTAATGTAGTCACCTTGAAAACTCCTGAACGTGTGGTTGGGGAAAAAACTCATGGTCTAATGATACTTAGTCACAGACCCCAAAGACTCAGTATTGTGTCCCTGTGTGTCTTATTCTACCTTTGTTTAATTGTTTCAGCCATGTGTGTCTTAAAAATATTAATACTAGCTTTTTTTCCATATGTGGGGTGTTTGTATGCAAATATATACAAATAACCTGTCACTTTGAATGGTGTTTGATTGACAAACTATGCAGTCACTATAATCTGCATATGCATTTAATATAAATTGATCTAATTCTGTACAGACATACACAATAGTTTATGTAGATATGTACTTAAAATATATGTTGCGAAACGCACATGTTCTTCTCCTGAATGGCTTCATATGCCTTTCAACACAGACCTGTAATTAATATTTAATGCAGGCTTTTTTCACTCAATCCCAAATTGTAGTGTGTTGGACAACTGCAGTGCAAAATTTACCCCAAAAATGTTCAACTCCTGTATAGTCACAGCTTCATTATTTTAGCCTAAATTCTGCAGCTCAGTTTTCGATTCACTACAATTCGCCGTTTATTGAATTGGGGTTATTCACTTAAGTGTGAATTGCTGGAAATACAAAATTAATTCAAAGTTAGGCCATATGTTTCTTTACTAGAAGACAGTGCAGTATGATAAGGAAACAGCCATACCCCAATGACTCTTATAATATAGTAAAGTTATTTTCAATTTGTTTTGTGTTACAATTGTTTTGCTATTTTGCAGTGGAGATTTCAAATACAATAATTTTTTATACCAAAGAATTTTTCTTAAAGCAGATCTGCTAATATTTGATGTACTGGCCCCCGCCTCCCTATTGCCCTCAAACTCTGTGCTTTAAAAAGCTTTCAGTCACTTCATATTTCTAGGACACATTAACCGTATATGTTACTGTTCGGAGTTTCATCACTACACTGGAAATTATGAAATATTGACACTGGAATTGTACATTTTAGGCAATAATAGTTGAGATGGAAAATTGGTGAATTATTCCAGGTTAGCTATTTTGCACCAAAATTATTTTCAATTTCCTTATCCGTTCTCCATAATTTTCAACCTCCCTCTGATACCTCAATCTTGCTTTTAGAATTCGGAGAAATCACATATATTTCTGTGTGGATGTCTTAAAGGTTCGCGGGTGTATATTTTGATCTTGTAGGATGTATGTATGTCTGGGTATCCCCAATTAAAATCGATTAATCAACCTACATAACTCAAATTAAAGGAACATTTTTGTACATTGTGTTGCTTTTGGACTAAATAATTGGCTGGATTTTTTGCCATGATAAATTTTTGTATTGTTTTAGCAAAAACAATATTTTGCAATAATATGCATATAAAAAAAAAAACATTCGAGTGTTAAACATAAATTTATATATAATGCTGGAGTGTTGTACTACTGATTTAGAGTGAGTCTCCAGTTTTCCCTGAAATAAAGCAATTGCCTGCAATCCAGCACATGACAACACTGCTTTGCTCACCAGGGGGTCTTTACATGTTATAAACTCCTGACCACTAGAATGCTTCTCAAAGAGTGCACATGGAATCTGTGCTTCCCTAGGAGAGGCACTTCCTTCCGCTTTGTGATAGGGCACAGTGCAATCTGGAAGAGCATTATCATGGCTGTCTGATTGAAAGTTGGGAAGGTGCAATCCAGACGCTTTATAAAAATGATAATTTCTCTTACCATTTACTCTTTTATAAAGTGACAAAGAGAAGATATGTTTTTCACACTTAAAGCACTTCAACAAGGATGTGGCATGTTCATTTAATCTCGCCTCCTCTGTCTGACCTACTTAATTATGAAATAAATCTTTCTTGCTGGTTACAGTATTGAGGTGTATGATATCCCAGCTCCCTTTCCTCCTAATCTTCCATTTTCTGGTAGTTGTAGCTCACAACCCTTCACTTCCCATAAATCTCTGCTGTGCAGGTATTTGTGGGATAAATTCAGCACATTGAAAAGACCCATCCTGATTGATTGATCGCTTCCTTTTTTGAGCAGTGCTAATTGCATAAAATGCAAAGCCTGTGAATTTATTGTAAAAGCCGCTACTTCAAATGTTTTTTTTTTTTGTTGTTTGTTTGTTTTGGTATGTCTTTTATTATTTGAATTGGTTGTATTGCATTACAAGTGAGTCAATTCTAGCCATGAGTGCCATTTTAACTGTCTCTTTAAGCAGACGTATCCAGAACTGTGTGTACAACCTTTGAATTCAGGAGTTTTAGCATCCCAAATTTAGATTTTTTTTTTTTTTTGGTATGTGTGTGTTTATATCACCCAACACCTCTGAATATGCTACATTAGAAATGAGCCCTATCTCATTACAAGGTGACCTGCTACATCTGCTCAGTATCACTCATAACCCCTCTGCTCATTTTACTTGTTAAAAAGAAACAGATTGAAGACGCTCAGTGCATTGATCTTGTGTGGTGTCCAAACATAACTGAACTGAAAGTAACCGCGAAAGGGGTTTGCCGTCTGTTACACATTTCATTGCACTAAATCACAGGTCCTGCAGACAGTGAAGATCTTCCTTTCACATAACCTAGAATGTCATTTCTCCAACAACCAAAGAAAAGCTCATTCATTTCCTGTGGTGTTAACTGAACTCTCATTTATGACATATGGTCAGAAGAACTGGCCACTGCCAAAAATGGTTGCAAATGACTGTGATATACACTTTCTCACCGGAGGTCTCTGAACTTTTGTCCATTTAAATTCTGGTCCATCCCAGACAACAAGCATAAAGTTTAAACTTGAAATGCTACTGGTGAAGACTGTAAATGATTAACCACAAATAACTATAATACATGTGTTGCCAACACACAACACTGGGCATTTATAGATAGGGCAGATTATGACTGTGCGAATGCTCAGAATCCTGTATGCCTTATTTATTGCCTTTTTATACCTGAGCATTTTGACTTCTTCCCGGGGAAAGTATGAATTAAGGACAATCAGATGCTCAGTAGCCTTCTGCACTAGCAAACGCAACACACTGCTTTCTGTTGCCGATATCTAGACATGTAAGGGACAGAATGCCAAATTAAAACCTTTGTGGCAGCCTGTTTTTTTATTTTATTTCATAAAATACGTGTTCTTTATACACTGGAGAGTTGTGAATTCTTAATGTTAATTAAATGTGGCTAACTATAATCAATGAGCCTTTGCTTTTGTCTATGCACCATACAGTTCAATAATGTATCATATTCCTCTGAAGTTTCCTTTTTGTCCTAAATGATCACCCATTTCACAGATAATTATGATTTTATGTAGAATCATTTGCTAGCACTTGGGCTGTTAAATTATTGCTCTTTTTTTTTTTTTAACAATACATTAATTCAGCCTCAGGGAATTTAAAAGGCCTGTAAAAATCTAATGGTAAACTAACTCCTGAGTGCCTTGTGTATATAACCTATTTTAAGATGTTTGCTGTTTGCGACAGAATATTGTCCTTTATGTGTGTAAGACTGCATGCACTGCTTCTTTGTCAAATGTTTTGATGAAATCACTCATTGTCTAAGTAATATTTAAAATAAACCTGGGCCTACGATTATATACATACACACACACACACTATTACAGGAATATGGATGGGCTATTTATAAAACAGCCCAACTGACTATCGTCTTGTTCACTTACAACAGCCAACACAAGAGGGCGCCACAAGTACTAGAAATGGCAAAGATCACAACTGCTTATTTAAAAACTCATTTAAATATTCAGGTATTTGGTGTGTAGCTTTAATACCATTTGTAATGGCTCTGTGTAGAATTTACTGAGATAACTTTATAAATATTTACTTGGTTTATATAACATGTAAGATAGAATTGTTCACTGGGAGAGAAATACGAAGTGGCAACTGTGTTATGATTTACTTCTCTCCACTGTTGCCCAGTAATTATGGCAAAGAACAAATAGCCATAGTAGAATGCCAACCACTAAAAGTACTCAGTAACATATTAGAATGGCATGAACACTTTGTTTTATGTCTCTTCTCCTTTTACACTTTACATAGGTGTTCATTTTTACTGCAGCTTTTATAAAAACAGGGACAGAACAAACCATAGGCTTTAATTCTCTTTGCTTTCTAGAGAAAAATACTTTGATTTTAGAACCAGCTTTAAAATTTATTTATTTTTTCTCTCCTGTTAATGTTTGAGCAATTCAACAAAGTAATGCAAATATGCAAGGAATTGTATAACTTATCACTAGCCAATTGTGTTCTATTATTGTGTTTGATATTTTCACATTTCTAATGTGTCCTTGAGTTAGGAAGTAGATGTCTGGAAGGCTTTTTGAAATAACAACCCCGTTTTTCTTTTGTAAATACAACATTTTGATATATTTGGAGGGATTTTCCACTGCAATTTTATTTTTCTATTTCTGATGCACAGGTGTATCACAATAATGTTCTAGTCTGTGTAGAATTTTAGAAGGTTTTTAAAGGTCAGTAAAGTAGTTGTTTTAATGCGTTATTTGTAGATTTGAATCATGTAATTTTCTAAAAAAAAAAAAATAGCACTAAACTACAAACTGCTAACAGATGGAAATTTTACATTTTATTTGCTAAAATATTCATGAATTACACTGTTGGATGTTCTTACAGCCCATCATGAACACATATCACCATCAGATGTGACCAGTTAAGGTCATTGCACTAAATGCAAATTCGTGTGACCAGAGTCAGAGGAAGGAAGTGCTGTAGCAACCATTTTGTAACAGAGAGGTGTCTTGGAGGATAGAGTTGTTAATTGATCAAAAGTAACCTAATTTACTATATTTTTTTTTTTTTTTTAAACTAGTCTTAAAAATCATTTATATATACATATATTTATTATTTTGTATTTTATATTTATCATAAGAAAAATCATTTTCCATCTCAAGTCTCTGGATTCTCTCTGTTGAATTATTTCTAATTCTCGTAACTTAGTTCTTACTCTCGTGTAGTAAATAAAGACTATTTTGCATTCAATTTTCTGGGCAGTACAATCGGTAATTCATAATGCCTTAATATAATTATACATATAGACATTTATAGTTAGTCTTAGTAAATTGTGGTGACAGTATCATTTGTTTGTTTTTTAAAGTGAACCTGGCTTGATAGGTTATTTTTAACACATAACCACTTGAAAGCCTTTAAATGTATCATTACATTAGTAGTCACCTGCTGCCCCTTACACCAGTGCCACCATTTTTGTTGTGTGTTTGGATGTTATAACTATTGTGTTGTAACATCCACTGTCTATTTCCTTTCTCCTCTCTGCTGTGAATGTGCCTGTTTGAGACACGTCCCCAAGCTTATCATGACATACTGACTTCACTGTCAGAACTTTGGTGTCTGTGCATCCAAAATTATATTATCCTTATGCGTGAGAAAAACCTCCTGCATGCCACTGACATAAATTGAAGTCTGATTTTCAAGTGGAAGAAGGCCAAATCTTTCCTGGGTATTAAATTAATATCTATACATTTCCAAGTATTTATGCTAGCATATTGTGTAGATGAAACGTCATGCTCTTTAATTGTAGCCCATGTTGTGTATATCATGATAGGTACACTGTTAGCAGTATACTTTTTCAATAATTAACCATTTTTAAATACAGAAATACACAAGATTGACTTTTAGTGCATGTCTGCAAATGATGGTCTACTCCCAGAATGATTGGTTACTGATGTGACTTTTTTACTTGAGAACCTGGCTGCAGGTTTTACCCTACTGTGATAGCATACGATAGAAGAATGGTGTTTGCACTGTATACTACTTAATCTGCTTTGTTTGTAGAATTGCAGTTTTAATGGTACTCTTTAAACACCCTAACCGCTATAACTTAACCATCCAGTTGCATGCAACCTTAGATAGCAATGATAAGTTGCCATCGCTGTGCTGTTCCACACAAATGCTTTCAGCCTATCACTGCCATTCATGGTTGGGCAGATAAAGTGAAACTTTGACATTGGCAGACCACGGACTAGGTTTGGTTGCCACTTGAAAATAGTCTGACAAAAACTGATTTCTACACAAAAACTTTATAGTGGTTATAGTGCTTATATTGTTGTAAGTTTGATCTTTCTTTCTAATCAGTGAAGCAAATACTTGTAGAGCATATGTCTTTCTCCCCACTAGAACCTAGTTAGTTTTTGTCGTAACACAAAGGCCTGTTAGACTATTGCACATGCATCATGGTAATTGGAGGATAGGGGAGCTATTGCTAATCTTGGTTGCAGCACATAGTACTCCTGAGATAATGGGAAATTAAATCCAATCTAATTTTGATTGAATTTTCACTAAAAGAATAACTTGTTCTTTAGGGCAGGCTTCCTCAAACTCCGGCCCTCCAGATTTTGCTACAACTCCCATGATTCTCTGAATGAAATAGGCTGAGAATCATGGGAGTTGTAGTTCAGCAACATCTGGAGGGGCCGGAGTTTGGGGAAACCTGCTTTAGGGCCTTTCTCAATTTGTGTCTAATTTGAAAAACCTTTAAAACCACAATCCAAGAGCTGGATAGTCTTTGCAGAGTAAAGGTTTTTCTGTGTTTACTAAATTGCTTACCGGACAGCAATTTTGCCCCGAGACTTAAATGGAGCAATTGGCAGAGTGTACCCTTACTCTCTTAAAATAATCCAGAACCAGATGATTATCTCCCAAGTGCCTTGATTTTTTTTGATGTTTTTTGGAGACGGTCTGTATTTGGGCCTCATGTTACTTGTTTAACCTTCATGTCTAGCTTTATTGGATCACTGGATAAGGACAGATTAAAAAAGGGGTTTTACAGCCAAATAAACTTTTCTGAATGTTACCTAGCCTACTCGTGCACCAGTGTCTGAAAATCCTTCACTATAGCCCCCTTTCCCACTATTTGTTTCATGCCAGCTTTCATGAGTGTTTCACTGTATGATTGTGCCATTTTGTTAATCTAATTGAACATTAGGTAACCGCAACCTATAAACATTTTAGTAAATAGCAGGTGTAATCAGCTCATACGATGAGCACATGAAAATGGATTTTCGATTGAAATGATCTTGCCATTATCCAGTGTTGTGTGTGACACCCTCTGTGTTGGCTGTATTTCCCTGCAGATTTGTAGACATTGCTGTTTGATATATCCTTGGAAGTGTTAAGGGAATTCCAGTAAACATCAAAGTTGTTGTGGAAATGGTGATAATGTGTCAGTTTTATGATCAAAGCATCAGTATCAGGGACATGTAAAAATAAAAATAAAAAATGAAATGAACTGCATTTAATGTTAATTTCACATTTACAAAATAAATTAATACTTCTGTATTTAAAAACTAAAATGGTGTCCGTGTTATTTGTTCTTATGCATTTGTTAGAACAATTAATTTTATAAATGTTAAAGAAACAATCAAATATTCTATACAGATTTGTATATATTTTTTTAATATCTGCAAACTTGTATTGTAAAATGCACTTATGTGTACGTGCTCAAAATTCTTAATTCCGTTTGCATTGCACAGAGGAGCCTTTAAATCACATCACCACCACCTGCCACATCAGCACGTTTTAGCAACTCAGCCTTTGCTGCTGAAGAGCAGCTGGGGCAGAAGTTGGTGAGGTTCCTTCCACGTGGTGAGGTATTCGTGCAGCTGCCTTAACTGTCTGTAATACAGATGTATGATTGTAGCCATGCCACTCATACTGACATATTAAGTCTTGATAAAGGCTCAGAGAGGAGCCGAAACATCTCCACTTCCTTGTTTCAAATAAAGATTGCCTTTTAGAAGAAACCTCAGGTGTGCCTGGATATTTCTTTGTTTTCCCATTTGATGTCTTCAGGGATTGACCCTCCCTTTCTGGAGCACCCTGCAGGAAGTATTCCCCCCTTTTTAGTGAGTGTTTTTTACTCGTTTTTTTGCAGACTCCTACGGACATAAACCATGTTTATATTTTGCTGGGCTTTTGGGAATCTGTATTCCCAATAATTTTAACAATTTTTTTAAGGACCAAGAGCATTGTATTTGATCAATTGTATTGCTATTTTGTGGCATACTTGTTTGTTACAAAAATTATAGTCTTATGATAATTTGTGTGAAGGCAGCTAAAGGATTTTTATAATAGGGATACTGTATAGCTCTTTATAATATATAGCCCCTCTCAAAAATAAAGACATATAATCTAAACATAAACCTTTCTGTGTTAAGAATAATTAATAAAATAATAATAAAAGCAGTATTCTAAAAGTGGGGAAATCACCATGGTAACCAGTGGAACTAGTCCTAATTTACTAACAATAATCCATCTTTCAAAAATAAATATTAGGGAGTTTGCCATCTAAAAATACATACAAATTCACCTTCAAATATGTATAGATTTCCAGGGTTTATCACTGAGTTCTTAATGCCCCCAGTTTGGGTTAGTAAAAAATAATCTGAGCATTTGTATGGGCATTCAGGCTCAAAAGCAGGTTTTTGGGGTTTTTTCATTAGATTTATCACTGTCTGGATTTTGCAAAAGCTGTTATCAAATTCCCTTGAATGTAATCGGTAGTCAACCTATCCCCATGCTACGAAATGAATTATGGAAATAGTAATAATGACTGGGTCCAAGTGATTAAAAACTGGAATAATATCACCCATACATTTACTAGCCATTTGCTAACCGAATAAATACAGGAAACATTGTTCGCTGCAAAGTGAAGCCAAGTCATGCTCCATATCTTCACTAAGGAGTTATTTCTTTTTTTAGGGGTGGTTAAGAAAGAAAAGGTATGACATGTATAGTTAGCATATAAATTTAGGAGAAAATGTAATGTCTACAGATTGATATTTAAAGACAAACTGCTATCTTACCACCGAACAAAACTTTGCTCACCTGTAACTTGTTAACTTCTTTAGATGTGATGCTACATTTTCTTTTAAATTTATATTTTGAGACTCAGAAAATGGGATTACAATAAAGTACAGCCCAAGCACGGCCAGAGACAAGGCACATATGACAAATGACAATTATAAATAAAAACAGAAATGTATCAAAAAGCTTATGAAACTATATTTTATTTCGCTCTGTAATCAGTTTGTGTTTTATTGACTTGTTTGGAAAAGTGTTTATATACCTCTATAAAAGTGTCTATACCTCGATTCTCTCATTTTTAGTTTTTTCCCCCCTTTAATAACATACATTTCACAGGATCAAATGATCCTATCTTTTTGAATTTCTGTAACACCTAAGCTCCCCAAAAACAAGCTTTACCACTGTCCAATCCCTGTATACTAACATAAAAGCTCAGATCCTGATTACAGGAGCAAAACAAAATACCTTCTAATGAAACTAGACAAGGGTGCCCCCTCTCACAGCTGTTATTCGTGTTAACAGAACATTACTACAAGTTATTCATGCATACCCAAATCTCAAGGGGGTTAAGGTCGGGGAACAACACTTTTTGATATTGGGATACGCTGATGATGTGCTCCTCACCTTGACTAATCTGATCACATCAATGAATAGTCTACAACCCATTCTGCTAGAATATGGAGATATTGCAGGATATAGAGAAAATTTGGAAATGTCAAACGCACTTTCATTACATCTCCCGGCCACAGACATGGCACTAGTAAGGACCACATACAGATATCAAGAGTCTTTTAGATACTTGGGCATCCAAATTACAACTGATCCTAAGAGATTATATCAAAATAATTACTACCAAATAAGCCATAACTTAATCGGGGACATGGAAAGATAGTTAGATAAATCGGTATTGTGTGTGGGCAAAATCCATTCCATACAAATTTATATTGTCCAAAGACAAAAAGCAATAGATAACTTCAAATGGCAAAATAAAGTACATTGCATCGCCAGAAATTAGTTTTATCGTCCAAAGTTAAATGGTTGACTAGGGTTGCCAAATTTATATCTTGATGTAGCACTCCCTTTCCCAAGAGGCAAGAAAGTGAGTTGACCTGGTGTTCTTGTTGATGAGGCGGATCTACTGCAGTTATTTATATGAGTTCCAAAAGTAGGCAAAGCATTCCTTTTGTACAGAGTGCCTGGTTGCTGTGAACTCCCTCTTTGTGTGGAATGCTGCTGCACTAAGATACTCTGACCACATTTTCCTCTCCACTCACTCGTATAATAAGAAACAGAGCTTTTATATCTGGCATGATGGCACAGGATTTCATGGGCATAGAGAATACTGGAATTTAAAGATTCTTTCAGCTCTTCAAAGACTGCAGATTTTTGCCCTTCCAGGACATCCAAAAACACACACATCAGACAGTGGCAGACTATTTCAAATATAAACAAATTACAGATTTTAATGAAGAAACCTATGACCTTATTTGAAAAGCTCTGTCTAGAGGAGCCTAATCAGAAGAGGCCCATCACACTGCTATGCACAGCCCTATGTGCGATTTGGTATGTAGGTTGCAGTATACTGATGAATGGGAGGACATTGACTGGAAGCAAACAAACATCTATAAGCATCACCCTGCAGGAATAGGATTACAAAGCTATGTTCTGATGGTACATCATCCCGGTCAAGTTATACTACTTGACAAAAAATTACTAGCAACCAGTGCTGGAGACTGTGAGGAGAGAAAGGGACAAAGGTCACATGTGGTGGTTCTGCCCTGAGGTAGCTGGCTTTTGGAGGGAAGTGGAGGGATCTCCTATCACAAGTTTTTGGTAGACGGATCAACCTAGATCCATGGGTATACCTGTTATCAAGACCAAAAACTTTTCAATAAAATAACTTTACAGGGAGTGCAGAATTATTAGGCAAATTAGTATTTTGACCACATCATCCTCTTTATGCATGTTGTCTTACTCCAAGCTGTATAGGCTCGAAAGCCTACTACCAATTAAGCATATTAGGTGATGTGCATCTCTGTAATGAGAAGGGTGTGGTCTAATGACATCAACACCCTATATCAGGTGTGCATAATTATTAGGCAACTTCCTTTCCTTTGGCAAAATGGGTCAAAAGAAGGACTTGCCAGGCTCAGAAAAGTCAAAAATAGTGAGATATCTTGCAGAGGGATGCAGCACTCTTAAAATAGCAAAGCTTCTGAAGCGTGATCATCCAACAATCAAGCGTTTCATTCAAAATAGTCAACAGGGTCGCAAGAAGCGTGTGGAAAAACCAAGGCACAAAATAACTGCCCATGAACTGAGAAAAGTCAAGCGTGCAGCTGCCACGATGCCACTTGCCACCAGTTTGGCCATATTTCAGAGCTGCAACATCACTGGAGTGCCCAAAAGCACAAGGTGTGCAATACTCAGAGACATGGCCAAGGTAAGAAAGGCTGAAAGACGACCACCACTGAACAAGACACACAAGCTGAAACGTCAAGACTGGGCCAAGAAATATCTCAAGACTGATTTTTCTAAGGTTTTATGGACTGATGAAATGAGAGTGAGTCTTGATGGGCCAGATGGATGGGCCCGTGGCTGGATTGGTAAAGGGCAGAGAGCTCCAGTCCGACTCAGACGCCAGCAAGGTGGAGGTGGAGTACTGGTTTGGGCTGGTATCATCAAAGATGAGCTTGTGGGGCCTTTTCGGGTTGAGGATGGAGTCAAGCTCAACTCCCAGTCCTACTGCCAGTTCCTGGAAGACACCTTCTTCAAGCAGTGGTACAGGAAGAAGTCTGCATCCTTCAAGAAAAACATGATTTTCATGCAGGACAATGCTCCATCACACGCGTCCAAGTACTCCACAGCGTGGCTGGCAAGAAAGGGTATAAAAGAAGAAAATCTAATGACATGGCCTCCTTGTTCACCTGATCTGAACCCCATTGAGAACCTGTGGTCCATCATCAAATGTGAGATTTACAAGGAGGGAAAACAGTACACCTCTCTGAACAGTGTCTGGGAGGCTGTGGTTGCTGCTGCACGCAATGTTGATGGTGAACAGATCAAAACACTGACAGAATCCATGGATGGCAGGCTTTTGAGTGTCCTTGCAAAGAAAGGTGGCTATATTGGTCACTGATTTGTTTTTGTTTTGTTTTTGAATGTCAGAAATGTATATTTGTGAATGTTGAGATGTTATATTGGTTTCACTGGTAATAATAAATAATTGAAATGGGTATATATTTGTTTTTTGTTAAGTTGCCTAATAATTATGCACAGTAATAGTCACCTGCACACACAGATATCCCCCTAACATAGCTAAAACTAAAAACAAACTAAAAACTACTTCCAAAAATATTCAGCTTTGATATTAATGAGTTTTTTGGGTTCATTGAGAACATTGTTGTTGTTCAATAATAAAATTAATCCTCAAAAATACAACTTGCCTAATAATTCTGCACTCCCTGTAGTGGCTAGAAGGGCACCA